ACCTTGAGCTGCAATCTACGAATGTGTGGCATGCGATTCGCTCCCGCCAAGTGCAAGATGATGTTACAGGACTGGACCACACTGACTCCTAGTTTAGAAATAGGGAGTGAAGTGGTAGAACACGTTGACCGCTTCACTTATTTGGGAAGTACCATCAGCCAACGCCGACGGGTTGATCTCTGACGAAATCTCAGTACGGATACAGAGGGCTAGTTTTGAATATGCCAAATTACGCCGTCTCTGGCGTAGACGTGATATCCGGCTGGCTATCGACCAAAGGGCGAGTGTACTGCTCATCAGTCCGCTCTGTCCTCCTTTACGGCCGGCTGTGAGACCTGGCCATTGAGAGTGGAAGACATGAAAAGATTGGCCGTCTTTGATCCTAGGTGCCTGCGTTCTATCTCTCGTGTGAAGTGGTATAATACGGTGAACAATATTGAGGTTAGGCATCGGTCGAGTGCTAGGTAAACAGGGGAAATCAATCGATTAGGCTGTGAAGTTACATCGACTGAGATGGTTTGGACATGTGTTACGTATGCCAAGCCTAGTCATCGCCTTCCTCGACATTGGGCGATATTAGCTGACATAGGTTAGGTCAGGCTGGAAAAGAGCTAGTGGCAGTCAAAACAAAACATGGTACCAGTCAATGAAATCCACAACAGTTAGTTTAAGCCAGCCACGTAGGAAGATGTAGACTTCCTGGTTGGGGTGCTCGGGACGGTAAAAACCAATGGCTGCTGGAAACAACCAGTGATATGGTTCAAAGTGATCGTTCTTAATGGCTGGCGCAGATGCATCCACTCCTTGTGACTTGTGATTTTCAATGAAACTATATTGTTCTTCGTTATTACTCTTCCTTTGTTTCACACTTCTGCTTACTATCTCTATAATGCTTTTCTTGTACTTTGTTCTCTTGCTTTGTGTGCTACATGTGGGGAGTGTGATGACTTGAACTGGTGCACATTGGTGCAAAGTTCTATTTCGAAAACAGACAGACAGGAGTAAATTAAGTAGCATGCCCAAAGCAATCGATTTTTTATGTGACTAGTGTCATTATTATTGTTAAACAATTTTGAAATGTACGTAATAATACCGTCTAACACGAAAGAACAGTCTAAAGAAATAAGAAACTGGCATATTTTTTCGCTTGCTCTCCAGTCTTACAATGTGGTCACTTTTGTTCTGTTAACGTTTGTAATAAATCTCCGTAATTACTGAACTTAGAAACACAATTTCGAGCCCCTGAGTTAACATTAATTTGGTCAAGTTAGCTGGTGATTGTTTACATGCTCAAAGCTTTGGTCATGTGGGCTGCCATGTTGATTGACGTAATACTGAATTAGAATATTTATTGGTCACATTGCAAGTTTCTCAGTTAGACTCCAATCAACACTTAGAAGGCGAAATGCACGTTAGCCATCGTTCAGTAGCCTGTCCTTATAGTCTGCTAATATTTATCTTGGCCCCGATATATGAAATAGCCAAATACGTGTACCGTCTGATCGAATAACATTTCTTTGTTTTTTTTTACCTTTAATTTTGTTTAAATGTGTCTGTTTAAGACACTTAAATAAATTCTTCGGTTTTTGTGTGTTTAAACAGATTACTCATGATGTATATACGTGCACATGTTATCATACTGATATCTTTGTTTAAGAGCTCTCATTTCAACTGCTATGCTAATTCAGTGTTATGCAAAAGTAAAATTATCTGTACCACTATTACGCCACTTCATTTAAGACTAGTATTCATGTGTTATTAGTGTTTATTTAGTGCTTCAACAGTAAATTTCCATATAATCTTGTCCTGTGCAATGCTCTTTAGCTATTTCTACAATTTCTGATAAGCTCTTGTCACTTATCAATGTCACCTTCGGACACCTAGCTTGCCAGTTTCCATTCGTGTTCCACTTGATAGACTCCCTGGCGCGCAGTGCCACTCAACAGTCTCTTCAGCTTGTGTCGTATCCATCTCTATTTTCTTCGGCACATTTGTTGGGCAATAGGTTCTTGATTGGTTTGTAGTCTACCAAATCTCCTTGTTTCTGATCCTTTTTGGGCATTTGTCCTTCAGCATGCAGCCAGCGAAGGAGTAACTACTTTTGTTAAAAGTCTGCACATGGGCTTTTCGAAATGCTTTTGGTAAAACGCAAAGTCTCTGAAAAGACTAGCTGGGGTGTTTCTATGGCTGTCACCGTTGTTTTTGGTCATAGAGTGAAGTGAAGATGACTCACTAGCCTGCAGAATAGTCTTAACTGTAGTAGAGAAGCAAGATGAGGAAGGTGATATGAGTAGAGCAGAATGATGCTCTGGAAGACTTCATGTGCTTTTGGAAGTGTGTGGGTGGTTGTTACTTCCCGGCTGCTCACACCGTGGAAGTTGATTGATTCTTCGGCTACCTGAAAAAGAAAGAGTTTTGCATGACTGCAGAGCCCAGATGACAACTGCTTGAGGCCGGTCACACACGTCCTGTATGACCTGGTTTGGTTCCGTATTAGTAAACTTACCGCCGGTTACGGACCACCGTAGGGTAGGTCAGGATGTACACTTTTTGGGGTCGACCTTTTCTAACCCCTTCTCTCCGGAGTGGAGAGACAGCATAGCTGGTTGGCATGCTTATCATCTGAGGGAAACACCTTACTACTGTTACACCCCTGTTACCCAACAGTACGACTTCGCCGTAAGACCCTCAGCATAGTGTAAGAAAGGTTCTTACACTTAGCCGGTAACTGCTTTTAGTCTAATCGCTATCCTAACACCCTTTCTGGCATGGTAGGACCTGCAGGAACATTGGTTCCAGCCACTGCAGCTTGTTGAGTCATCGCGATGTGCAAGCCCGACCACCACATCAAGATAGCAGCTATCGATCGGGCTGAGTCTCTGAACAATATAAAAGCACTGATTTGACATTAGTGTTGAGAATAAAATCGTGTTATTTATGCTAAATGCAGAAGATTTTCGGATTGATCTCCTATTAGTGAAGGTGCATCTTGCTTTTCCAATCCTCCCTCTGACATCTTCATCCCTTCAACCTGTAGTTGAAATGACGCCGACTAGATAAGTGAAAGAAGTAGCTTCCTTGAAATTTCTCCTATGGATGGTGACTGACGTTTGTTGCTTTTGGTAAGGTAAATTCATCACATTTGTCTTCTCTTTGTTCACTTGTAGTTCTTCCAGTTTGTTGGCTTTCGCTTGTAGATCTTTGAGTCTGTATGGTATCAAGCAGAAATCGTCTGTGAAGTTCATATCTTCTTGTCGACTCTTGGTTCACTGTGGTAGTATGTAATTGCATATTAGTTTGTTTATAATATGTATCACTCATTGAAACAGTATTATTTACTGGGTGACCTTCTGAACACCAGTTATTGTTCATAATCTATATCAATCCTATCAATAATTGATGAGATTATGAACAATACTTTGTGTTTGGAATGTCATCCAGTAAATAATACTATCTCATTGTGCGATATATCTAGTAACTAAATTAATTAATATGGGGTTCTTGTACAACCAACGTACTCCTGTCTTCTCGCTACCCACTTTGGATTGCATAATCCAGTCGACCACGATTGGGAATATCATCGGTGATGGTAGGCAGCATTCCTGCTTTCACTTTGGAGACATTGCTAATTTTTTTTTGTTGTATGTCACTTTTTACACATAACATCGTCATACAACTGTTGAATGAGGTTGATAAAGATTTTTGGCACTCCGTAGTATTGGAGGAGTTTCTAAATCACTTCATGATCAACACCTGTCTCAGGCTTTTTGACTGAGTTTATTCTATTGTAATTCTAATATGCATATGATATTAATTACAATATTACGATGTTTGGCATACAATTTGCTCCCATCGAATGCAAGTTGGTGCTACAGGACTAGACTGGACTACATCGACTCACTCCTAGCTTAAAGATAGCCAGGAGTGAAGTGGTAGACGACCGTGTTGATCACTTCGCTTATTTGAGGAGTTGCGCCAGTCAACGACAGTGGGTTGATCTCTGAAGAAATCTCAGCACTGATAAAGTAGGCTCGTTCCTCATATGTTCTCCAACATACGCCATCTCTGGCTTAGTAGACGTGATATCCGGCTGGCTGACTGTTGACCAAAGGAGAGCAATCACTTCGCTGCGTCCTCCTTTTATGGGTGTGATTGAGACATGGCCATCCAAAGTGGAAGACATGAGAAGGCTGGCTAGCTGTCTTTGACCGATCAAAGGTTACCGCATTCTATATCCAGTGTTAGCTGGTATACTAGGGTGAACAATATTGAGGTTAGGCGTCGGTCGAGGGATAGGTAAGGAAGGAGAAGGGGAAATCAATCGACGAGATTGTGAAGTTATACAGGCTAAGATGGTTAGGATATGTTTTACGCATGAACCGCTAGCCATAGATCTCCTTGCTTGACTGACTGGCAATGCTAGCTGATTGACACAGGATGTATCAAGTTGGAAAAGAGTTAGCTAGTGATGGTCAAACCAAAACATGGCTTCATCAGTCAATGAAATCCACAACAGTTAGTTTAAACCAGCCAGACAACTACGTAGGGAGGTGTAGACTGTTCGACTGACTGGTTGGGGTCCTCGGGATGGTAAGAACCAATGATGGCGGCTGGAGACAATCGGCTATATGGCTCAAAATTGTTCTCAATAGCCGGCACAGATGCGTTTACTCTTTGTGATTTATAATATCCAATAAAACCATATTGTTCTTCCATTATTACTTTTGTTTTTGCCTGACACTTTTGTTTGTTATCTGTCTTTTGAACTTCTCTTTATTTTCTTCTCTTGCTTTGTGTGCTACACGGAGGGAGAGTGGGAACTCAAACTACTGCATATCTGTGCACAGTTCTACGTTGAAACCAGTTAGTCAAATTATTCATGATATATTTGGATTCTACGATTACATAGTATGTACATATTTGTTATGTCCACTTTATTTCTGCTGATTGTTTTATTCTTGTATATCTTTTGTCTTTCATTTTATCTTTTTCCAAAATAGAATCGTGGTGGTCCAGGTGGTTTAGATATGAATGTTCGATCGGTTTGGGCGCGTGGTTATACAGGTCAAGGCGTGGTTGTCACAATTCTAGATGATGGTTTAGAAACAGATCATCCAGATTTGAAAGATAATTATGTAAGTGCTGTTTATAGTTTGAAAGTAGATTATCTGTGTATAGTTTTCTTTTATAGTATACAGTAACTATTGTGTTGTTGGCCTTTTTTCTGTTGCTGTTGTTGTTGTTGTTTTTTTTGTCTCAAATGAGGTTTCTCTACTGTTTCCGATAACAATTCAATTATTTTACAGTTAATCTAATGAATTTTTTTCTTTTATCACTTAGTTTTTTGAGATGAAAGCTAAAAGTGTATGCATAGAAGAATATCATTCACCGAAGCAATTATACTTATGATGTGTTTGATTAATCTTAATTTATTTTTTTTATTGCTAATCACATATATGTAAGCGTAATTTATTATAGGCTTTTTTATTCTTAAACTTGACAGTTATCTTCTGATAGGAATGAACAGAAAAGGGGTGGGGGAAGCAAAGAACCCTGTTGTCTGTCTGAAATCGCTGTTCATTGCTTCATTGGTTTATGACAAAGTTGAAGGCTAATAAAGTCAATTAAATAGCTAAAAGTATAACAAAGGTGCGTCGGTGGCATATCGGTTAGGATGCTTGCCGAGCATGCACATGGTCTGGGGTTCGATCCCCGGCCACTGACTCACTCCTTTACCTAGCCAAGTCAGAAATAATCCTGGTAAAGAGGAAAGGTTGGGCATGAGGCTAGCAACCCCATCCTGTAAAATGAACACTGCTAGAGAAACTTCAAGCCACTAGCTTGAAGCCCTATGTTCCACTGAGGAAAGTGAAGGAGAAAAATAACAACTAAATTCCTGTTTATTGTATCTTATCCTTATTTGTCTTTGTGTAGCTGATTAGAACTGAGTCAGAGAACAGCTGAAGCTACATTTAGTCTTCATAATAATGAGATAATGTCTAAGAAACAATAACTATTTATCGTACCTATGTGTACATTGTTTAATAAATAACCTTCCAGTTACATTGATGAGAATCGGTTGTGGGAGATTAGTGTAGTAACAGACACTTAACTCTTAGATATGATAGAGAAGATTTGTCGCTCAGGAGGATGATTTTGATGTGGTTGTGTTCTCTGAGATGGATAGTTAATTTGCGTTTTTCAGCTTTTTGAATGCCTTTAGCTCTTGAGAGTTGAGTTGTGTGTTGTTTTTTCTGTTTGACCATTGGTACAATTGTTTGGCGTATCTCTTCCTGTGTTTCCTCGTTCAAGTTTGATGATTTAAGTAATGATTCAAGGGCAGCTAGGAAATCAGTTTTCAAAGCATCGCCGGTGTTGTAGTTGAATCTTTTTTGTAGTAGTTGTTGTTCCATTTTTGATAGTGGTTGTTTCGATAGGTTGACTACGCAGTCTTTAGGTGTATTGTCTGGTTGTTGTTTTTTAATCTTGGTTAGCTTGGTTTTGAGGACTCTTCGTCTTTGTTCTCTGTGGTTTTTACTTGACAGTGTAATTGCGGTGATAAGCGTTGACAGGTGTTCCTGGTTGAGGGTTTTCTCTAGTTTTGCTTTTTGGACCTGTATTATTTGTTAATATTTGTTGATCCGATAATGTGCGTCTGTAATCATTAATTTAATCATTCGTCTTCCACATTATGTTATGCACTCGTCGAGTGGTTAATAGTCCTGACGCGGAAAGAGGAAAATCAGAAGACCACCTCGTTCACGATGATACTTGTATTTTCCAAGCAAGGAAAATAATGACTGCCACACAAGTGTTTGAGTGAAGGGTACGTAGTGTACGAAAAGTGTGAACAAGTGCGAACAAGTATACTATACAAAAGTTTGTATGAAAATGACCAATATACATGAGCCGATAGATAGACAGTCTTGCCATGATTGGTTGTCATGTCATGTGATAACAAGGTCATACATTGTTTATTTAGTTAATGGACAGATGAAAGCAGATGAAAGTTATAATGGAATATCGATCCATATACACATAGCAAAATATAACAGACTGTCAAAAACAAACACACACATCATGTGACTACATATCGCATTGTTCGGCCGATTTCCATCCCATTGGGCAGTTGACTAGTGGTTTGTACCTTATGCTTGTCGGTAGGATTTGATGACGAAGGCACTCATGGAGAAAGAATAATTGTTCTCTGGTGGATCCTTGCCTTTTGACGAAGTCTCCCCACTTTCGAATAGAGAGAAACGTGTTCCACTCGTAAGATTTAGATATGGTAGAGAAGATTTGTAGCTCAGGTGGATGATTTTAATATGGTTGTTTTGTCTGAACACATCAAAAGCATAATTCTTAATTACCTTTAGACCGGTTTGAAATAACACAATATGCTTCGTATGAATAAATTAATAGATCGACATATATCGTATTAGTGTTTCATTTTTTCCGAAACAACTGCTGATATTCATACTCTAAGTAAAATATCTCAAATAATAATAATAACAGCAATAATTTTCAAGAGTTGATTTGTAAGGATTTGATTCGTTTTTCGAATTTGATATCAGTTAGAGAACCATTGAATACCACCATGGAGTACTGAACAGCTATTTCATCCGTCCTAGTTTGGGAATCATCGGCAGTACGCACCCACTGCTACAATTCGAACAAAAGACCTTCCAGTTACGAGGCAAGCTGGCTCGTATACCATTCAGTCACTGGGACACGATTCAATAGCCAGCCTAACTTTTACCAATTCGTTATTTATTGCGACTGGCACCAACCAGTATCATCGGTGGAAAATCCATCCTGACTGCCAACTGAACAGACCTCATTGGTCATGCGGTCTTTTCACTAGAACTCCAAGAAACTTTGTCGTGTAGAGTCAGTCACGAGCTTACCTTGTAACTGGAAGGTCCTGGGTTCGAAACCCCTGTCGTGGGTGCGTACTGATGAAGAGCCTCAAACTTGGATGGAAGAAACAGCTGTCCAGTACCCCAGTGGTGGTTTTCAATGGTTTTCTAACTGATATCAGTTCGTAGTCAAACTCGATAAATGATAATAATAATAATTATTATTATATAACAGGAATATTAACTAAATGGCTGAACGTTCACATAATCGGTTAACAATACTATTGCTGTAAGGTCTTAAATATCATCTGTAAAATAGGCTAACTCTGGCGTTCACTTATTCTTCAACATTTTCATACTGTTGAACATTTTGTTTTATTTTGACCTTCTTATTTCTTAAAGGTTACTTCATACACTGTTCATTATTATTATTATTGTTATTATTATTATTATTATGTAGTGATAATACTTCAATATTAACATGCGATTGCATATAACATTCATTTTCAAACATTTTGTTTTGCACTTTACAAATGGCATAATAAACATGTTTTCTTAAAGAAGTTATCAAGTTTGCGTTAATACACACACACCGACACATAGATTTTGTGTTATTTTCAGCATCAAGTTACTTTATGTGTGTTGATCTAAATACATGAATTGTTGGCATATAATAATAGTTTTCATTTAATTTCTCTCTCAGTTTTGACCTCAATATATACTTTTAATGCTTTAGTCTACCTCCACCGTGTTAAAACCCGCTGGTCATATTCCTTTGTTCACCTTTCAAGAATGAACTGATGCATGCTATTATTTCAATTGTCTTAAATATGGACAAAGAAGAAAGAATAAACATTGATACAGAATATAACATGGATCCACTTCATTTCGTTGTTTCTCATCAGCTGCATACAACCCCTATAATCTTTAGTAAATAAAAGTCAATGTTAGAAATTTAACATACTTTTGTCATCAACAAGCAGCATATTATGTAAGAGTGTCATGGTGAGGTAAAGCATCGAGATGACAAGGTAGCTGAAGTGTGAGTACATATATATATATATATATATATATATATATATATACATCTTGTTAGAGAGAAGTTTCTAGAAAATTAACCGACAAGTTTGTTGTTAAGGTGGTAACAAAACATTAGTAACAATTACATGGTTAGATAAGAGAAGATAAAACTTTGGTGTGTGCGTCGGTGGCATAGCGGTTAGGACGCTCGCCGACCATGCACATGGTCCGGGGTTCGATGCCCGGCCAACGCACTCCTTTACTTCGCTAAACCATTAATAATCCTGGTAAAGAGGAAAGGTTGGGCATGAGGCTAGGAACCCCATCCTTTAAAATTAAACACTGCTACAGAAACTTGAAGCCCTATGTTCCAATGGGAACGTGAAGGAAGTAAAAAAAATTTGGTGTGCAGAAGAAACGAGTCAATGGGGAGGGCTTTGACTCATTCCTCCCCACTCGCCTCGTTTCTTCTGTCCGACTTCCATATGAGATCCTTTTTTCTGACCTTGTGAGTTCTACTCACCATATTACATCGTCTTTCCCTCTAACCTCTTGCACACCAAATTTTGATCTTCTCTTATCTAACCATGTAATTGTTACTAATGTTTTGTTACCACCTTAACAACAAACTTGTCGGTTAATTTTCTAGAAACTTCTCTCTAACAAGATGTATATATATATATATATATATATATATGTACTCACACTTCAGCTACCTTGTCATCTCGATGCTTTACCTCACCATGACACTCTTACATAATATGCTGCTTGTTGATGACAAAAGTATGTTAAATTTCTAACATTGACTTTTATTTACTAAAGATTATAGGGGTTGTATGCAGCTGATGAGAAACAACGAAATGAAGTGGATCCATGTTATATTCTGTATCAATGTTTGTTCTTTCTTCTTTGCTTAAATTTATGAAAGGAAATTCTTGTCTGAAATATGCTCCACTTTGGACACTAATCGTTTCAGATATTTCGTTAGGAAAGAAGTATGTTTATTATTCAAATTAGAATTAAGATATCTAGTGGTCAATTTATAGTTAGATGGGATTGTAAATCATAACAAGAATTAACAAAATTGGATATGAGGGAGGGAGGATAAGCGGGGATTCTAACTGCGCTGTATTTCAAATTAGAAGTGGTAATAAATTTACTAGTCATCAGATTTCAATGTAATCAATTTTCGACTAGTTTTTATAAGTCAAAATGGTTCCTTATTCACAGTGTGCACAAAACTTTCTATTCGTTGT